GTAATTGTATTGATTTTGCAACTATAGGCACTATCTATGATACAGTTTTAAATGAGAGCAATGATGTATTTCATTGCGTCAGTGCCAAACTTTGTTTTATTTTCAATCTAGTTCACAGGCCACAGATACGGATCTCAACAGATAGGAGTGATGTGTTCTAGCAACCGCTATAACCAAAACAGCTGTCTGTGCAAAACACAGATGGTTCCCAGGAGCACCGCCCATCTACATATGTTGATACTTTTTTTCCTCTTCTTTATGAATGGACTGTTGCTTCTTGCTCGTTGTGTCTAACAGAGAATTGGTCAAAATTCATCTGTGCTTTACCTATTTCCAAAAAGGAAAAAAAAAATTTCACATCCGGCAATTGTAAATATATTCAACAACATATATTACAGCTGTAATTGCTGTTCTGCAATGCCATGAAACCAGGATGTGTCCTTAAGCTTGCTCTAGTCCGGACCTGTCACGCACAATGCAAGTTGGAAGATGTTGGGGTTTTCTATGCAGCTTTCTTCCTCCAATACGGCACAATAACAATGCAACAGAAGACAATAATCATCCACTGGAACGACGTCCCGGCAGACGTGTCCAAGTGTTTTACTGCTAGCTATCAAGCAAAGGTTTGGCAACATTCCTCACCCATCCTAACGCCTAATGAGCACCAGAGAGACTGTTTAAAACACGAGACCAACAGCGCGGAATGAAAACAGAAAACCGTCTGAGAGGGTGTGTCTGCACTGAAAGCTGACCCCGAAGGCATCTTGAAGCTGACAGACTTCATTGATGAAGAATTCATAGCATTTACTGGAGGAGCGACAGCTACAGTAGCAGTTACTGCATTTGAAGGATGTGGGGGGGAAAAACAGAAGCTATTTTTCTGGGAAAGTCCTTTCTTACTATTCTGCGTCCTGACGTTCTTTGGCAAGTCCATCGGCTTTCAGTTATGTTTGAATTAATTCACATCAATAAAATTACCTCGATATCGGAAAAACAAGCTGTTATTTAGGAAACTGTCATTCCAGGGTTTCTTTCTGCTGACCAACTAAATGTTAAGACCATTAGGAATAAAATTTAAGACCTGCATTACAACTAATGTGCAAAAGAAAAATCCCATGTTTACATATTCATATGTATTGCTTCGGTTGGCAACAGAAGTGAGCTAGCGGTGAAGATGAACATCGTTCAGCCAACCATCAATACATTTAAACTTATCAATGATGGACACAAGAAAGTTAGTCAGCTCGCTAGCAAATAGTAAATTAGTGGTATCCTCCACGATTCACAGAACGCAGTGAAGATGTTTGAGTGTGCGTGCGACTCAAACTCTTGTCTGAGAGATAAGTCCCGAGATTAAATAGGGCTTCTACGACAACACTTAAAACCTGCTGTCAATGTATTTAAGGTCAAGACATTTTAAATCCTTAGTTTTAGATAAATGAATACAAGGCAGTTTAAGGATGTGCAGACACCTTGCATCTGTTACCTAGTTTTTAAATTTGAAACAAACATTTTTTAAAGAATTTCAAAAAGCAAGCTACAATTAAATTTTTATGATGCTAAAATCTTCCATTTTATTAAATGTTCACCCAGTCCGACTCACTAATGTGCAAACAATAATACACCGATATGCAAATCAATTTCTCCAAAGCTACGTTGACATGTCACAGGAGGAATCTGGAAATTAAGCCACAATTTTAAGATTGCAAGAGGACTACTCTTCCCATTGGGTCACAGTCAGTCCTTAACATGTATATGAAGTCTCTTGGTACCATTGATTCAACAGGAAGTATTTCCCAACAGCAGAATATGGTGGGCAGTGCCTAGCAACCAGTAACAGAGAAGCAATGTGGTTTAAATTGATTCCTACACTTTACTTCATCCAGACACTTTCACTGCATCAAAATTCCCAAATATAACCAGGATAAAGGGAAATACAACTAAACAGTTGGTCATATCAAATCAAAGAATCAACTATAAAGCTCCTCCATGGTGTAACCTAGCGCACCCTGCTGTTATACTGTTGGGTCTCGGTATTTAAATCCCTCCACTGCTCTGTCTTTAACAGCCAGGATAAGGGGGCAGCTCGGCTGTGACCTGCAGTGATTGATCACAGCCTTACTTCAACTGAACACCATCACAATCGTTTTTTCTCCTCCAAAAGAAATCTGCCCACATTTTATCGTATTCATCTTGGATTGGAGAAAGAAGAAAAACAGAACATGAACAGATTAGTATCATGAGCTCGGCTTCATCCTGACTGTATTTTTAACATGGGAGACAATTTTGATTCTTAATCTGATGGGTTTTGCAGGTATATAAAATGTTTTGATTAGTATTTTTTATATCTATTGTCACCTTTTTCTTTGTTGCATTGTACATGACTGGATTTGAATTAACCTGGTGGGGTTAATTTCTGATATGTAAAAATTTTAATTGACACTGAAAGATGATGATGAAACTGATTTTCTCTTCCATATAATGTCTAAAACAGAATGGTAGTCCTCGCAATTAAATGATAAATATCACACACACTTGAAAAGTTTTTATTTTTACATTTTGCTTAGGTTTATGTAGCTCAGTTTGAGAAATATTTTCCAAATGATACTTGATTGTTCAAATTTGTGCTTATCTGAAAAAAATGTTTTGACAATAAGCAATTTTAGTTTTTTAAAGAAAAGTTAAATATTTATTCTTAACATTGACACGATCTGGAATTGATTACCAAAACTCTGCATCTATTCCACTTCAACTGCAAAAACAGTGAGACTATGAATGTAAGAATGTGAACCACTCAATAAATATTACAATATACAACATTTTCATAACATCCAGCTATTAAAAAGTATTCCCAAACACGCAACAATGACTTGCACAACAAATCGTACCAATGGCCAAAACAGATTTGAATGGTTTACTTGAAACAAAATGAAGATAATTTCTCCAGCTTTTCCATCTAACTTTTGTCTGAGGTCCATAAGAATCAAATATGAACTCCTGAAAACTCTTTTGACTAAAATACATTTTAAAAAGCTGTGGCTTTTTACATCTCAAAATAAACTACTTTGGTATTTATTTTTATACTTTTGTACATTTCTTTTCTCTTAGGATTGTGGAGGTTTTGCTTTCACTTTTCAGATTGTAACGTTTCCTGCTTTAGAGAAACTCTCTTAGGTATATTTTCAGTTTGTTTGACACCAACTAACACCTCTTTTATACAGAAACCCACACTGAAAATGCTGATCCGAATCCATCTTATGTTTATCCATCAGTCCTGCAGGTCTGGCTGCTGGTAATAAAACCTACGACAGGACCGATTAAACAAGAGCTTTACACCTTATGCATCAAGGTGTGGCTAAGCAGCGTAGCATTAAAAAAAAAGAAGCACCTGGCTTCTAAATGTAAATATATACACTGTTTGGTCAAAGATACATGCTCTTTTGATAATTTTAATTGGAAATGTGTTAACGAAAGTCCAGACAGATGAGGATGGTGATCAATATAAGCTGATTTCCAGAAGAAAACTGACACGACTAAAAAGGGAGAAGCAAGGTTTTTGCCCCACAGCAGTGATGGAAGAATCCTAGATTCGAGCAAAGCTAAACTGCCCCGCTGTCTGAACAAGTCAAAACACACAGCGTGGGATTATTGATTCCTGCATTAATCTCAGGTCTAATTCCACTTGCCTTCAGATTTGCTGCGTATTATTCGGTCTGGAAATCAAACAGAATTCTGAGGCTTATTCTGAAAATCAAAGCGAGGGAGAGAAGCTTCTGCCACCGAGGTTATGTCGCCCTCTGCTGACGACCCCGCTGCCCTGCAGGCTCCTCTCGTTTCCACCCCCCGTCCCTCCCAAGACATCTGGCATTCAGAACAAGCCGCTGACCCAGACCGCAGCCCAGGAATAAGCCGAGCCACTCCAGTCTATGGCTGCAGAGGAATCCGTCAGTCAGCAACATTTGGGAGCAAAGCTTCGTCTAGCTAAGGATTGCATCCATGTGTTCGGAGGCTGAGCAGACAGAAAGGGGGAGAGCAGGCTCGCCTCGCGGGACAGAGCAGCAGAGGAGATCTTGTTGATCTTAAAGCGATCCGAACAGTCATTCAGGTCTTTAACACCATATGGGGATTTAATAAGAGACAGCGAGCCACTCGACCTCCAAGAAACACTCTGGGTTCTTGCTGTCCCTCAAAAACATTTGGTGGAGTTATTCACTGACCAAAAAGACTGGAAACCCTGATTTTTCTCAAGTCACAACATTGTCAACATTCGACCAGGAAATATGCACACTGTGATGCTTTCTGAAACCATCACCCGCGCAGCAATTCTGACAACAACACAAACGAAAAGAGCCCCAGACTTTTTAAAATCAATCAGATTTCGTCACCATCGTTTTTTTGCTCTTTTTGCTTTGAATTATCTGTATTAACGTCACACAAATCAACTTCTCCCAACCTTTTTGCATCATTTATGTTCTTGAACTAAAATTTTCCGTCTTCAAAATGGGATTTCTTTGCATTTTGCTCTCCTGCAGTTACATATCTGAGCCATATTTGAAAACACTACATGGGTTTTAGTGAAATTTGGCAGAAATAGTAATATTTAAAAAAGATGCAATCAGTCTGTGAGTAAAGCGGACAGGCGTGGTCTGATTTCACCGTAAATTTCAGTTACTGATGCTATGAAAACCAGATGATCTTTGGATCAGAAACTTTAAGTTCACAGATACATAAACCACAAATCCAAATCAGTTACTCCAACCATGGCCTGCACAACATATAAAAACCCTTTAAAAATGATTCAAAATAAATGTAAACACATTAACTGTGTTTTCATAATAGTCAGAAATGGCTTTTGTTCTTCCGCAGCCTCTTTACTCTGCTTTGTTCTAAAAATAAAAAAAAATCCTCCTGCCAAATGCTACCTGATGTTTAAAGACACTTTATCATCAAAGCCACATTTACTACAAGGCTCAAAGCGAGAGCAGAGATTCTCATCGTACCGTCGAGGCGTCCGGTCCCTCTCCTGGGCCATTGTCTTCCTCTCCTGTGCATCTCACGGCGTCAATGGGTTTGTCGACTTCCACCTCTGGAGAAATGCATGCAAACACAGCACAGTCAGGCCTACAGCACATCTTCCGAATACACAAAGAGCCTGTGTTAAAAAGCTTCCAAAGGGCACATGTCCAGCATCTGTTACTCAGACTGAAAAAAAAAAATACTAGAAAATGTCCTCATAAGAAAATTTTAAAAAAAACTTTGCTGCTGTTCCTTAAGTAAATATGATGTGTTGAATATGAGAGGAAGTAAAAAACTATGGACAAAAAAGGGGAACTGACTACGATAAGATGTTCAAAACGTTGATTTACAACCTGAGAAAAACCAGAGACCCTGTCAGTGATGTTTCAGGGGTCAAGGGCGCTGTCGTGCTGTAAAATTATCCTCGCACTTCACAATAACACACTGCTGCAGGAGTGACGCAAAGCGCCAACCTTGCCCTCTCAACCTGTCTTTATTCTGCACAATTATTTCAGAGGAGTGAAAATTGCACATGGGAAAAGTGTTGGAAGCTCACTGAGAAGAGGAGACTTTTTAAAAGTCTCACTTCCTGCTCCAAACACACACACACACACACACACACACACGCACACACACACACACCAGCTGGCCTGGGAGTGTTTATTTTGCACAATCCTGCCTCCTAGCTGTGTGTCTGAGAGCCAGTCACGTGCTGGGGTAATGTGACTGCCGTCTGCTGACATATGCGAAGCCCTGCAACCAGAACAATGCATGTAATCACATTAAAAGCGCACATCGAAAGTATTGGTACCCCTTGAACATTTTCCACTTCTGTGAGGCGACAACCACACATTTTAATGCGTTTCATGTGACGGGTCTGCACAACCAGAGCACAGTTGTGACAGGGGAAGGGAAAAGACGATGAATGCTTCGTAGAAACACTGTTAACTTAAGTTACCGCTCTGTCAGCTTTGTAGATGGAAATTGTTGCTCGTTTTCCTTCCCAAAAACGGCTCTAGCTCGGTCAGATGGGATGGAGAACGTGAAAGTGTTGCCGCCTGTCAAATCTGTTGAGGATAAAAGGTGTCACCTGGCACCTGTACGCTTGATCATTTGCAGCAAAGGACGCAGCGGTAGCTAAAAAAAAAAGACTTTTAACATCAACATGTGAAAAGCTCATTCCTTTCTGCCAGACCTTACAGTACATAAGGTCTGGCAGTACATAAGTCATCTAATAAATAATGTTATTTTTTTATTATTCGTAACTGAGATTTGTTTTTAAGAGAAATTGAACCAGGTAAAGCCAAATATATGCCACAGTTCTGGGTTGAAAAATGTTTTTTATATATTCTAAATGCAAAATGTATATTTCTGTTGTCAGGTTTTGGCATAATTCCTGCTCTGAGTGTATTGTTCTATCAGGAAATTGCCTTTTTTGTTTTCTGTCGATTACTAAATTTGTTGTTTATTTCAGCAATTCATTCATCGTCATTTCAGCCTTAGAGCATTGCTCTGAGGGATACTTACATCCCGTGCGGTATGACGTTTTCCTTGGTTTCGGTAACCTTTTTGTTCACTAATGCTTTCTATGAAACCTATGAAGCCTTCACAGAACAGCTGGAGATACTGAGAAGTATTGACATACAGATTGACTCTACTGACTCTTTAAGTGGCTTCTTAGAACAATTCCAGTTGCACCAGATTTTATCTCGAGGTTTCACAGTAAAAGAAGTTGCATATGTTTATTGCTTTTTGCTTCCTTTATTCATTCAGTTCAGAGGTCTTCACTACTTTGTTTTATAGTCAAATGAAATCCAAATAAAATATGTTCAAGATAGTGGTTGTAATGTAACAAAACGTAGCGAGAGGAGTATTGAAGCTTTTGCAAGGCCCTGTATGAATATAGTTGTTCGGAGTTGATCTCAGAAGCTCACGAAGTAAACGCAACAGGTCTTAGCGACAGTGATATATCACTGTCGCAGCAAGATGTCAGAGATATGCTAAAAACCCACTCCGACCACAATTAAAGCGAGCTGCATGGCATTTAACTTAGCAGAGCTTTTCCCATTAATCACAAGAAAAGCACTGAATTGGATTTAGAAAATGAGCTTAGGAATGAAACATTGACAAACAAATCACCCCGTGATGCATGAGGGTGTGAAGCTGAAATAAAACCAATGAGAAAAGTAAATAAATCAGCGTTTCCAACCTCGGTCGGCAGTCGCGCAGCTCTCTGTCGCTCCATGCAGTGAATCGGCAGAGTCTGGGTTGGCAGCCATCTGATCCTCGACGGGAGTGTCCACAGATGACTCGGCGACAGCAGCAGGCGGTTCCAGTTCCAAAGGGATACCATCTACGATGTCTGACGAAGGATTGCTGTCCTGTGCTGAGATGGCAAGCTGACCCTCGGTCGACCCCGTGTCCTGAGTCTCCTTTAAGTCATCCTGTTCAGGCTGCATTTGTACATTCCTACTCTTCTCTGCTCCCTCTGGTTTATCACTGGCGTCCGTCTGCTGATCGTCTTCGACGGGGCCGTTGACTTTGACCTCTGATTCAGCCTGGATGTCGATATTCGCATGAGAGTTGGAGGACTGCTTGTTGTTACTTTCGCCAGGTTCTGAAGTAGGGACATCCTCACTGACTAAAGGAATTGGATCCAACACTGAATCCTGTTCAGGACATTCTATAAGCAGTTCCTCACAACTTTCAAGAATCAAGCAATCCATTGTCTTAAAGTCATCTAGCAGCTCTGATTCATTCTCCAACACATCTCTACTACCAACTGAAGGGTTCAGGGAATTGATGGTACCAGCGTCCAACAAAAGCTCATTGTCGTCACCTGGTGAGTGTTCATGGTTTACGCTGCGTGATAGATCATTTAAGTCCTCGGTACATCCGGTTGAGGATATATCTATGTTCATAGTTTGATTTCCCTCCTGCATGGTGCTGTTATCCTCAGTAGGGTGGAATATTTCCGTTGAAGAACTTCCAAAAGATCTAAAGCTTCCTTCGTCATCACTAGAGACACGGTGTGCCACGCCTGAATCCTGGTCAGCTTTCCTCTTAGTGAGCATATTTCCTGGTGATGACTGGTCAGTCCGTGTTTCCTCCTCGGCACTATTCAAAACCCAAAAATCGAAGCTCTTTGGTTCGTCTGGAGCGAAATCCTGGAGTTTGGTTGCGTCTTTGCTGTTGCTCTCAGCTCCAGTGTCAGTCCCAGAATGACGGGCAGCTTCTGGACCGGAGCCCTGCTCCTGCTCGGCTGCGTAATCCTGACCAGCTGTTTCCTGGTTTTGTTCTTGGCTGTTTATGTCTGGCGGAGGTTCCCCCTCGCGGAGGCCTTCTATCAGCAGTAGTGGAACGGCAGATTCACGTCGCTCAATTACATCACTGCAGGCTATCGCCAACAGGTCGGGGAGGTCTCTTGGGGTTGAAATGGGGTCCATTAACTCTTCCCTCCCAACCTCCTTTTTTTCCACCTCATCTGAATTGAACCCTTCAAAGGGTTCTTGGGGAAGTTCTGTTTGTTCTTCCTCAATGTTCTTTCCATCTTGAGATCTCAACTTTGTTTTTGATTCAGGGGAGTTTAAAAGTTCAGAACTCCCTGACAACGGAGACTGGCCCATGACTGAGAAGTCTCCGCTGGCTGTTGTCAGAATCGTGTGCTGTGATCCGCCCTCCTCCTCTCCCCTCGTGGCTGCGCCGTCTCCCGTTTCCTGCTCTTCTCCCTCCCCGGCCTCCTGTTCTTCCCGGATCACAGCTTCCTCTGCCTGTTTACCGCAGTTTTCTGCTGGGACATTTCCCACAGTGACGCTTTCCCCTTCAGCCTTACCCTGTGCCCCTTCACTCCTGTCACACAAATTCAACCCGGGACAGGAGTCAACCCTCCCTTCCTGCTCCCCTTGGCAGCCTTTTTCCTCAGTGTTTGAACTGAGACACACCCCGTCCCCCTGCGGTTCCAGGCTGTGCTGCCGGGGAGGGATTTCTGATGCTGGAGGTAAACTTTCGTCTTTCTCTGAGTGACAAGTCTCGCCGAGTTCACCTACGATGGAGTTGCTGCTCTCCTCTTTGCTCCCTCCGGTTTCTGAAAGCAAGCACTCTGACGTTGAGTGGAGCTGCTGGAGTCGCTCCTGACAGGTTAAGTCTGTTTTCGCACCGTCACAACACTCAGCAGCAGTGTGGAGTGAGTCTAACTGCAGCTCCAAGACAGAAACTCCCTGCAGAGGACAGAAAAAAAGTCACACTTTGGCTTTAATTTAGTAGAGAAACTAACAGAGCTGCACTCTTTCCATCTCTTATCAACAGCCAGCTTCTGTGATTACATAAGGTGTTCCACTGCTTAAACAAACTGAAGCCTGAAGGTTAAAAAAAAGTTAAAAGACAAACAAGCCGCAGACCGGGAGCTGTCTCGCTGCTGGATGACACCAGTGGGAGAGGAGATAAAGGGTAAGGTCACTCACCTTGGCATGGAGGTGGCCTAAAAAGTGCAGAAGATATTCCACACTCTCCTGAAGGGTCGGAGCGATGCGGCCAGGGCGAACGCTCACCGTCAGAGTGTGTGTGTTCAGCGTGGGGGAGTTGCAGCACACCCGAGCATCCGCGGACACCAGCTGGAGCGTTTCAGACGCCTCGCCCGCCTCCGTCTCGGCCCTGCCGTGAAACAAGCGCTATGATGACTTCCTCGAAAGGGAATCGTCGATAAACCTTCAAGGAAAACTTTTAAATCCTCCTTTCAAGTGTTCCAACCTAAAGCGTGACTTTTAATTCTTGCTTGCAGAGACGGTTCCGTAAAGCAGGACGCACCTCTTTTTAGGGCAGATCTATTTGCGCAATCCTGGGTGGATCGCTTCAGCTCAACGCCGAGGCCCGCTGTCTGAAGTCACCGGCCCGTGCTGAGAGTGACTTCACTTTTCAAGAGCCAAATGTAATCATCAACACATAAAGGGAGGGTTGGACGTTTTAAAACTACACCCTGCAACAGGGAAGCTCTCTAAGTGGCAGTTTTCTTTCAGTTAGTGGCATCCTCATTTTATGTCAAGTGCAAACTATTCTGCCATAAACACGTAGCATTTCCACTTTAAGATCCTCAACCCATTTAGTCAGCAGCTGTTTTTTTTTTTCCTACCTTGTACTTATACGTTTGTCTGTAGAGAACTGGCATAATTTGACTCTACAAGTCTTTCAGTAAGGAGGGTAATATTGTGACTAATACCTGACAACTTCAACACGAGAACAATTAGAATTCCAGAGCTACTTCTTGTGGCTGGGATGGCCACATGCCTACAACTTGTCTCTATGCACTGAGTTGGAAGCACAGAGAAGGGTTGCTTCAGGGGCTGAGTGCCCATGTTCTTTGAATACTTCTATTGTTCTGTGAAGACAAATATCATTTCAACAAAGGAAGGAGGAACCAAATTAGCAGCCTTCTGGTATGCTTGCAGTGATCATCGCTTTCTTCCCTGTGCAGTCATTCAGTTCCTGTCAATTCGCCCTTTCACTGTACATCACACTCATTTTGTACATATAGACACATTAGTTCTTACCTGTGCTCTAAAACCATCAGCTCATTTTTCTTCATCATTAAATGTTTTCAATAGGCTTCAAAGGTACGGTAACTGAAGTAATGCGAATATTATTGCCTGAAAAATCTGAATTTTATTCTATTCCTAGTTATTTAAATACTGGTCTCATGGAATATGGCATGGAACCAATCTGTATCAAACCAAAACACCTCCGAGTGGACCCTCCTGGTAGATTTATAGAGTTACATCGTCACATTTTCCAGCAGCAGAATGCAAAAAATAACTTAATTATGTCAAGTGAACTGACGGATGGTTCATATGAAGTGTCTGGCAGGAATTGGTACCATTTTGTACTTGGGGGCAGGGGAAGAAACAAAACATGAATGAATTGATTATTTCAGCAATTAATCACATATTATTTGATCAATCACAATTCATTGAGCCCAAATATGTTCATCAAAATTTTCAAAAAATGTTGAATAATTAATTTCTAATTTTTAAAAGTTATTTAATTACAATATGTTTTTCTTGTTTTGAGCATTTATGCATTCATCTGAGGTCACAGCAGCATAAAAAAGTCAAACCATGCCCAGGTCTAGGCTGCACTCACTTTGTAAGGAGCTCACAGAGACGCTCGTGTCCTCGCTGTGTCGCCACGGCAGCCGGGGTGTGACCTTCTTTGTTGACCAACTGAAGCGCTTCCCTGGCTCCGGGTTGCCGCAGCAGAAAGCGGGTCACCCGAGAAAGGCCACGCCGCGCCGAGAAATGCAGCAGAGTCTCGTGAGGGCCCAAGTCTGCAGAGGAAGAGACAAAGGCACCAATAAATACAAACTCCACAAAACAAAGAGAAGCTAAAAAGAGCATGCTGCAGACCAGGGAAACCGATTTGTCGGTGCCACATACCATCACCTCAAGCAGCTCGGCAACACAGAAACTGCCAGCAGAAAAATGCAGCAGCCCGGTAAACAACAAACTTTTTGGATATTTACTGAGTGATAAAGCCGCCGTGTTATGCTGAATTAACCAATGCAAACTCTTTTGTGAATAAGGTGTGGAAAAAGATGTAACAAAAAAATGTTAAAACCATGACCGTTGTGTAGAAATACATTAAGAAGCTGTGTCTCACACGAAAACATTGAAATTACCAAAGACGCTTCACATAGTTTCACCACAGTAGAGGTGAGCCACATCCACCTCTACTGCGCCAGACTCCCAGTTTTAATTTAGCCCGCTATCTGCCCTCTGCCTCCGTCGACCTCCTAATAAAACCATAAACTGCTGAGACGGGGCCCTTTAAATTCCCACAGAGACAATGATGATTTATGTCCGCACACACAAACACAAACCTCCTCGTGTCTGCCAAAGCAACAGGTTCTGAGAAAGGTTGCCTCCAGTTTTAAAGACCAAACTGCCAGCTGATCCACAAACCAGCTCATATCAAGTCTGTGTAAATAAACTTCTGTCCATCTTCCCTGGTGTTGCTGGTAAAAAAAACAAAACCAAAAAAAAAAAAAAAAAAAAAACCATTTCTGCTTCTAAAGGAAGCTGATCCAACATCTGTGCAAAAGCTTCACAAAGAAATGTTTATGGAAGACTATGGAAAAGTCTATAGACTTTTAAAGTAATATCTTAGTTAAATGAGGTTTGGCCTACAAACTGCAATGAAATTTCTTTTGCACTGCATGTGTGATTATTTGTGTGGAAAAAGCAGGAAGTGTGTTGCAGTGCTTAGTGGAGGCAGAGAAATGGAAAAAAAAGGGGATGGAGGGAAACTTATCAGCACCTGAATAATTATCAAGCAACTTCTATATAATCAGTAGCGTCTGCAGATGAATGGTTACAGTACATTTAGCCTGGGCCGGTCCCAACCACCCTGCCCTGACGAACTTTTAATCTAATTGCTGAAACGTAACGTTCCACTTGGTCAGGCCGGGGCCGGACTGGAATGCGAGATGCCAAACTGTGGCAGGAAATGCTTGGCTGCTGGGTTATTTGGTGGGTTTACTGGAAGATGGCTGCCATCCTAAGCCATGACATTTTCACACAGAGAATGGAAGAGAAAAAAAAATCCAGAAAGCTCAGCAATTAGTTCAGTTTGAAGGCTGAATGAAAAGATTTGCTTCTTCTTGGCAGAAACACAACAAAGCTCTCAGCTGGTTAACTTGCATGGGGTTAGTTTTTCTCATCTCTACACATCTTAAAACCGGCGTTTTAAGATGTGCATCTTTAGGGTCAACCACATTTTCTTCTTTGGGAAATGAAAGTTCCCTCAGACTGGATGGATAAAAAGAATGTCATATTTTTGGCAGAAATTTGTCTTATACCTATAGGCTTTGATCTAAGAAAAGGGTTTCCCAAAGCTGGAGTTGAGATACTGCTTAGGATTGCAGATCAACGAGTCTGTAGATCCAGCTATTCAATGTTCCACTTATTGCTGCAGGGTCATAGGTGCCTATTTCCAGCAGTCATAGGGTAACAAACTACATGTCCATCATGGGGCAAAACAAAAACACAGAACAAACAGCCACACACACATGCCCACACTGACACCTAAGGACAATTGAAAGAGACCTATTAAGCCAACAATCATGTTTTTGGCGTTTAGGAGGAAGCCAGAGTACCTGGAGAGAACCTAAGAAGGAAAACTCCATGCAGAAAGAGACTCGGCAGGAGGCCAAGTAAACAAAATTGACTAACTAAAATGTAGTAATACAAGCATACTCAATTGATAAAGAGAGCATATGGAGAGTTGTGCTGTATTTTGAAGGTTGGACACAGAAAGGTTTGGAAACCATTCATCTAAACATTTCGAGGTGCATCTTTAGGGTCAATGTCCAGCTAGATGTTGAACCTCACGGCGCAGGCGGGTACTTTGCAGGCTCTGATAGGTTTTCTTCTAGTATTGCTCTGAATTTTTCTGTATTTATGATTCCACGAAGCTCAAAGTAGCTTTTCTGTCTCTTCTAACGAAAAGCATCCCTAACCACCCCAAATGGTTTGACAACTCTGAGTCCAGTTAAGTGCTCACCACAGTACTGAGAGTGCCCTCTTCCAAGTGTTCAGTGACATCCATATAAATACAGATTGTGGAAGAACCACAGCGCTGGTTCTGTTGGACCTTGGCACAGCATTTGACAAGGTTGACCATAACATATTGTTGAAACGACTGGAAAGTTGAGTAGGACTCTCTGGTACAATGGTTCGAATCTTACCTAAAGAACCTGTAACTTCTTACTAGAATGGAAAAAGTCACATTGTACCCCAAGGTTCAGTCCTGGGTTCCCCTCCTATTTAATATCTACAGACTCAGATTAACTCAGGTCATATCAAGAAATAAGACTAGTTACCATTACTACACAGATGACACACAACTCTACATTACAATGTAACCAGTTGACTCCAGAGTCTCATCCAAGCACTGCATACAGATGAAATATATTTTTACAGTGTTCTGGTGAGGACCTTCTGCTGTTTAATGGAGGTCTCCTCAGGGGCTAGGGAAGGATGAAATCATCCCACAATCTCCAGAAACAAAAACAGGGCAGCATAACAGCAGATTACACATTCTAAAATAAGATGCTACAAAAAAAAAGCTTTAAAGGGACAGTATTGTGCAAAAATGTGCTTTTTTGAACTTTGCATCATGTTATTATAATATTCTCTTAGCAAAATCAAGTGTATAGAAAAAACATTTCTATACACTGAGCACCAGCTGGCTTACTGAAAAAAGGTTTATAGAGTCATAGGTAGTCATAGATTTATAGGTAAAAACTATTAAAGGATTAACAGAGGAGATGTGATGACTTCCTGAAAGTGGAGTTCCAGAAAAAGCAGGGGGGGGAGTTTAATGAGACACATATCCAATTTCAAGACATTTAAATTATGAAGTGAAATTTCTTTCAACTCATACTTGATATATATAGCATTTTTATAGCAAGTGAAGTTAACAGAGTTACTTGCTTGTGCTATGAAATGGCTCTCTGTGCTTGAAAAGCACATAACACTGCTTCTTTTTAACTGCAAAGTTATATATGGGTGCTTTGGTAATGTAAAGTTGATGTATGTTGATAAAAGCACATCACATTAATTCCACTGCGGCCATAAAGGATGGTGTTAACTCGTAAAGAGGGAACAATATTTCTCCTACGAGCACAAAGCACGTCTGCCCCGTACTGCTTTATGAAATGATACAAGATCAACTCTACAACACTGAGCTGATCGAAACTGTGGATCCTTCAGACAGATATCGATTTTTGTTGTGAACCGTCGCTCACTGTCCAAAGATAATTTTGACACCTACTGCAGCAGGCCGCTAAGACAAACCGGGAACTGTTAAACCGTTTTAATGACATGCAAGATTTCCCAGGTGAGATGAACATCCGCTGACAACAATAAATAGCTGGCGGTGGTGTGAGATCAGTGGCTGCTGTGGGCCCACAGCTTGAAGGATGACTGAGATAAACCACTGTCACCTCCACCTGCATTCCTCCACTATCCATCATCTGACAGATCTGATAAATGGGAGAGCGGGGCCGCGCTCTTCTCCCCTCCCCTGCAGTTCACCGTTGCAGAACGTCTCGCGTTGAAGAGGTGACATATTGCGCAGCAGAGCCTATTAGAGCACACATCACTCACCGCAGCTGGAAGCAGCCTTCCACGTCCAAACTGTGACAACTGATTGCGATGCAAAAAAGGGGGGAGAGGGTGTGTCTGCGTGTGTCCATTACGTTAACAAGTGGATCTTATCTAATTGAGAGGAAGCCCATTACTGAATTCATCCGTTTATTTCTCCGACTGAACACCAACAACAAACAGATTCTTCTTAAATGTGGAGGCTCTAAACCCCAGTGATATAAACTTTCTGTGTCCTGTTAGCCCGTTTTCCTCAGTTGTGCTGAAATATTTCGCTGGTTCTTTTGCCTTGGTCCAACATCCAAATCTGAGCTGAACCATGAGATATTATCTTTGCAATAGCCAGAGGCAGAGGCAGCACACTAACTACTCCCAGAAGTCCTATTTATGCTGCTTCACACAGAGCAATTACCTCGCAGAGTTTATCATCCACATCAGCTCATTTAGCTTCCTTTAACTGATTAAAGTGAAATGAGTCAACGGCCGGAGAAAATTGCCACTTTAATTTCGATAAAACCGTGTCTTAGTTTGCACTGATACGGCCACTTCTCACAAACCAAGCTGCTGCTGCCTCTGCCCAGAGAGGATGAAGACGAGAGCCGAATCGAAGGTGTTTCACACTGAGTAGTTACTGCTACTTCCATAGCAACTAAACAATGTTATTTCATGGAGGTTAAGGTGCAGAGCTGGTGATAAGTTTAGACTTGATCTTTCAAAGACACATTTGAACCATTTTGTCAGCTTGGAAAATTAACACCAAACAAATGTGAAGAAGTTGCAAACATGCATAATCTGGAATGACATTGACCTCAACCCCATTGAAAATGAATAAATAAAAACATCCAGCTAGAATCAAATCAGGATCTTGTTGACAGCTATAAAAAACCTGGAGTTTCTATGCAACTTGCATAGATTCAGAGAACATTTGTCTGAATATTAAAGGGCTAGGATTATATACTTTATAGCCACAATTTGCAGCACAATCCAGTAAATGTTACCTTCAGTTGTCATGAAAATGCTGCATACTTAAAACAAAACTGACTACAATCGGGCCTCTGTCACTTGAAGAAGCTCCTGTTCTTTCTGACACTCTGCTTTCACCATGTCATTACAGCAATGTTTCTCCATCAATTTTACAAATGTTCTTTGGAGAATTGGACTGAGAAGTACTTTGTATGATAAGCAGTCCCACCAGATGTTTGCCAATTGTTGCTGCTGCTAGTCTAGAGGAGCTGTGAGGTGAAGGGTCAGCGAGGGATGACCTGTGAGGCGGAAGCTCGGCTGGAGACTGCAGCTCCGAGGAGAAGTGGCACGGAAGGCGGTTTTTAGTGAGACCAAGCATTTAAGCGCCCCGATGGTTACTATGGGAGATTCAAAGATTTCTCAAATCTGCATTAAAGAACCACAGCAGTACTTTGGGCATGTTTTTGATGAGGGAATAAAATCATACTGTAATATGTAACTCAAAAAAGTCGATTTTACACAAAACTGCCTCTTTAAATTTCTTTGACACTGTGTGGATGAGAAAAAAGATTTACAATAAAATCTTACTTGCGCATCCAGTTCTTGTTCTTTTCTAATGTATTGAAAGTGTTTGACAGAGAGTCATCTCACCCTGAAAAAATGTTGAAATGCATCTTTAAAATTCCCAAATTAGCACATGCCTTCATGTTAATGATGCTGATACTTTTCACTAGCAGTGACAGCAGATACATAAACCTCTACGATGCTTTGAAGCTGTCAACAGTTTCTGGTATGAAGGTCGGATATCAGGAAGAAACGGATACCCTACGGACAAATTCCCATTAACATCTTGCGTTTCCCCGGGCACTGTTCGCTCTTCATCTAGCACCATTCTGTTTAAGTGCATCATCTCTATAGAGCCATTGTTTTGTAGTTGCATTACTGTGAAGAATGACAGCTATGTGAAGCTGAGATTTTATTAGGCATGGCCTCTGCATACTGGTTTTGCTCTACAGTGTCAGTCAGCGTCGCTCTCACTCTTTCTGGTGAATTCCACACCTTATCGTTCATCATTTTGCGTTTTTTGGTAAAGAAGGGGCCGCTGCGGCTTCTCGTGCATTAAATCCAAACTCAGTCTTCGAGGAAAAAGTAAATGTATACCAATATAGTCATGTGATCCATGTTACAGTTTGTCAACTGACGGCAATCTTTTGCGTCGTCACGCTTTTCCCATCTGCTTTTAATGGCTGGAAATAGACCAGGCATATTAGTTTTAGTAGAGCAAAGCAGAATTTGCCAGGATCGTCTTTGAGTTGCCTCCCGACTACAACTATGACACAGCAAAACCCTGTAGGTCCAGGCTTGCATGGAATGGATTATAACCTTTTTTTTGTTGTTGTTGTTATAGACAAGTGGTTTTGTAATTGAACAGCTATAATTTTTCTAAATGTATTTGAGACAATTCACACAAGTGGTTTAGACCACAGTTACCCCGGACATTACTGCTCTAGCTGCAGTAACATAAAATATGGTTAATTTCACTCTGCTTCTGCGCTAATGGTGCTTGAGAGTAAGAGAGCAATTTATTACTGAACAGCGATATTCTTTTGTAAAAGGCAATTACTTCAATCAGATCATAATGCAAATTACACACACTGAGTCAATACATAGAAAGAAAAACAACTTAACAGTTTTGAGTTGTGTAGCTATAACATAGTTCCCTATAAAACCACTAATACCCCTTGAATCTTTTTGCATGTTAGCAGATCACAACCACAAACTTTAATGTGTCTAATGGAGTCAGACTAACAGAAAGTAAATGTAAAGTGATTACCAGAAGTTGACATTCAGCCAATAAAAAGATTCATTAACCTTTCTCCCTCACTGTCTGAAAAAAATGTTTCCATTTGCTGAATGCAACCGTGAAGAATGAGAGCTATGTAAAGCTGAGATTTTAGTAGGCATGGCCTCTGCATACTGGTTTTGCTCTGCAGTGTCAGTCAGCGTCGCTCTCACTCCTTCTGGTGAATTCCACACCTTATCGTTCATCATTTTGCGTTTTTTGGTAAAGAAACACTGGGAAACAGTATGGCAGAGATTAATTTACACATATTTTTACTCGGTGTATGTAAACTTCTGGTTTTAACTGTAGTTGTGAAGAGGAAAGAAAAGAGTTGGTAGTTTTTAAAACTTGTCAGAAGACTTAAAGGCATAGCTTTTTGTGTTTTCAAGGCACAGAGTCATTTTATAGCGTAATCAAGCAACAATATTACCTTCAGTTGTTATAAAAATTTGTAAGAGATGAAATACTTTTTACTGAGTTGTTTTTGTGAAAGAAATTTAACTTAAAATTGCGCCTCTGTTTCTTTAAAAGTTTCTGCTCTTTCTGAAGTCACCACAACATGGATCCTCTTTTAACCATTTAACAATATTTTTACCAGCATTTCACTGAGAAGCAGCTCACATACTGAGCTCAGCAGATGCGCAGTTCCAACAGGTGCTTTCTAATTGACACTGGCTAGTCTGAAGGAGCTTGGAAACTCCACGCCCCAAACCCTAAAGAAAAGAGCAGGAGATGCACCTTTAGTCCCTTCAGCTGTTTTGCTGAATGGTTGCCATGAGATATTGAAGGATTTCTCAAACATGCATAAAGGACTCAAGGCAACGCTCCAGTTATGTTTTTGAATAGGGAATAAGATAATATGATGTAAAGCTCAAAAAAGTCAATTTTACATGATAACACACCTTTAATTAATAACAATCATACACAAAATTAGACTATCACAAAAGTCTAATCTGATTCATTATTGTTTTTGGTAGCAACATCACAAACTGCAAAAAACACAAAAACCCAAGTAGGAGTCGTTCAGCAAGGCGCTACATGTGATGGTTTTCCAGGCTCACCGGTGCTGCTGGTCTGTTTGCTCCCCAGCAGACTCCATTCTGGAGGCAACACAAGGTGGTGGAGGGCCAGTGCCAGGTTCTCATCCAGGCGCTCACACTCTTGCACTGGAATCTGACACTCATCCAGGAGGAGGGCCCCGTCGAGGCCGTCGGCCCGGCCCGCTGTGCTCACCTGTGTGGAAGGTGATTACAGAGATGAGTCGACTTTTCAGCAGAGGAGAGCGAGCAGAGATTTTGGCACGTGCTCCTTTTATAAAAGTCGAGCATGAGAGCATTAACCAGGCGCCGATAAATAATGGAAGATGTAAATGTAGGGAGTCGCTTCCACACGAGTGCAATTTGGAGCTCCGGCTGTGTTATTGAAAACATCAGATTCAGCAAGTAAAGAAAATAATGTTCCATTTAGAAGCGCATGAACGCTGGAGTCCGGATCAATTTTCTTCTCTTCGACTGTACGTTTCTAAGCGACTGCGAGCTGAGAGAAAGAGAATTCAGTAATAGAGTATTAATGTCAGACATTAGGGCAGCAAACAAAAACAAAATGCATTATTTGGTTTCCCTGCTCTCAAGATATAGCGCTATGGGAGACGAAATGACGGCTCACCAAGAACTGGGCCATGTCAAAAGCTAAATCCTGGACAAAGCTGAATCGATGCTCGGCCAATGGAGCCACGGTCCCCAGGCAGGATGCTGGGTTCTCAGGGTCCCTGGAGGGAGTCTGGGTGGCTGAACACAAGGTGACCAACACCACCTCACAGCAGTCGTGAGCTATGATACAATGAGAGAGAAACAAAGAGAGATCAGAGGGGAAAACGAGCCTGGAGAGGACTAAATTGTTTTGGTTTTTTACACCATTCAATCAATATAATTCCTGCAGCTGGAAATAAAATGTTTTCAAGAGCTTGTACTATTTTCATCTGTGAATTGTACATATTTATAAAAAAAAGATCAACACCTCAGCACCTTTTGCATCTATAAAGCCTGCAGTTTTAACCTGTTTTGACAGTTTTAATCATAATCATCATCAGTCTCTTTACATGAAATACATAAACATTATTTTAAATTATGATGATGAAATTATCAAGATGAAATTTAGTCACGGCTAAATTACTTTAATTATCAATTAATCGGTTGATTGTTCTGGCGATTAATTGATTAATCTTATAATAGAAAAGGACACATTCTGGAGAGATTTCATTTGAGGCTTTTATAGAAAACCATAACATCCAAACAACTCAATTCCTTTTTTAAATGAGAAAATTTTATTGCCTGGAATTATAGCATTCTTTAAGTGTACACCTGATATGTTTTAGTAAGGAACACATCTGCAGCTAAAACATATACAAATCTACAGACCTCAGGTCTTTCAATACAGCTGATAAACATTCATGTTTATTTGGAACTATTAATGCATTCCAGTACTATAGAAAAAGACTTAAACAGTTAAGTTAAAAATATGCAGAATATGACTTTTTTTTTTATCCAATTAATCGATTGTCAGAATAATCAATTCCTATTATAGTCACGGAGCCAAAGTTATGTATTCCAACAAAATGACACTACTTGGGCAAATGTCACACAGTGGGTGAAACATTCATTCAGCATTAGCGAACCGTGTTTAAAATTCAAAGCCACGCCTGAGCTTTAGAAAAAATAAAAAATTTAAATAATTTATACTTTTTCTGATAAGAAAACACATTTACCACATTTCCAACAGCCAAGTCTTTTAATGGCTACCAAAAGTTATGTGAATTTTTTTTGGGACATGTAACCGTGTATTACTGTGTAATTCTCTCCTTTTGTGGATTAGAAAGGCTCTTCAATAAATTTCTATGTGTCGCCTTATTCTGGCCTTTAAAATTTGGTTGTTACGTTTGGATTAATGATCTACCCAGAAGAGGACTGTTCTATTGAATCATTAAAAATATTAATTAATATTTAACATTTCTGCCCATGAGGACTTTACGGAAACCTGATATAAGCGTTCCATGAGATTCTTTCAAAATGGTTTTGATGCAGCCTGCAGACGTTGTAGTTGTGCAGCCTTATGAAAGCAGAAGTGACAAACAGACGGTTGATGCTGACTGAAAGTACAGCAGTCTGACAAAGTAACAACAACCCTGACTTCTTTTCATCTCCAAAATACATGTTGACAAAGTGTGGAAATATTCGGAGAATGAGGCTTAATTGATGACATTCTCTGATGGTTTTTATTAAAACGCTCTATGCTTCAGTTTTTAGCTGCCTCCTTCACACTCGCACGGCTCCCAGGGACACTTTAGTCATTTCCTTGACGGCAACACTTCCGCAGTTCCAGCGGTGGCCGACGTGTAGCTCATTAATGTGATTTGCCGAACTGAAGACACTCAGAGTCACAGATTAACCTGACATACTTTTTTCTAGGCTGTGAGGAGGAAGCCTGGGCACAGAATGGAAAAAAGAAAAGCAAACTGTATTCACTACATATTCATCATTTCAGACTTGCAATGCTGGAATAATTCCAACTCACAGAAAAATTAAAAGCAAATAGCCGTGATCTTTATCTTACTGAAACATTTGTCCAATTGAACTCCATCTCCTTTGTTGACAAGTCAGAGTCCAGCAAATTAACAATGCACCGTTATATTCAGTTATATTCTTTTTATGCAAATGAATGCAATGAATGATTATCACAACAACAGAATGAGCATGGAGGACAGAGGTCTATGCAAATACACTGTAGTTACATGAAACATGTTTAACGAGAAACATCTCGTTAAACATTTGATTCTTTTGAAAGAAATCTTCACATATCAATGTTTTTGAGCTGAAAGGATTAATTGGATTAATTGTGATGCTTTTGTAGATAAAAAGAAACTTTAAAAAAAAGTTTATGGTTCAAAATCAGTTGAAAGGAAATCTCCGAATCACCTTTTGCTATCCAATTATTAATCGGTTAATCCACAAAATAATCAGCAGGTCAGTCCTACACTATACTGATGCTTAAGTCAAGAAGAAAGGGCTGAGCTCTCCACATGATAATGTTAGGGTCTTGTCAAAAGCCAAATAGTATTATTAGCTGCAGATGAATCTTTTGCTACAAATGATCAAGCATTTACTAAAAGAATGCAGTCACTGCATTTAGGCATTAAAACGTAAACTTTTTATATTTTGTTTATTTGCATTGTTAAATGTATTTCTGATATTGCATAGAAGAGGCTTAGGTGGTTAAATGAAAAATCTGCCAAATGTGCCCATTTTTTTATTTGATAATTCTGACGATTAAACGTTTAATCGGTAGAATACTTGATTATGTTTACTTCTACAATATTATTTAAATCTGGAAAAGGAAGTGATTTGATTAGAGGCAAACGCCAAAAACAAACCTAATTTGAGACATTAAACAAATAGTATCAACAAAAAGTAGCTGGAAGTCTTATTCTTGTTGACTTTCCTACGAGAATAAGACTAGTAGAGGGTAGATATTCTGGCTTTCTGTGGGGTTTTAGTAAAATTTTCTCCCTTCATGTCTCTGTAGAAAGTTACATTTGTGAAATCCCCTCTTATGACAGACAAGCATTATTACAGCAATGGCAGTAATAACCTGTTTGCTGTAGATGGTGTGATGATGTATCAAGATTTTTTGGGCGGGGGCGGGAGGGTACTTTAACATCTTGCCGTCTGCTGTCAGGATGATCTTCCTTGGATCTGGTCTAGTTCGTAGTTGTTATAAATGTCTTCAAGTTGTTGATATATTCTTCAGTTTTGATTGTTGATTTATTTGACTTTCTTAACAATATTAAAGATCTCACTGTCCGCAGGGTGATAAATCTCTCATAAATAGCTTTCTCTGTGAATGTATCCAGTCCTGACAGATTTCCTGCTTCTGAAATATTGTAATTATTTGAACAACTACAGTACCGCCTCAACTGGCAACATTCCCCGCATGTGATTTACCACTGCGCGGCTCTTCAAACTGAGACAGCTGACAGCAAGCCAAGTTTGTTATTGCTTTACTCGAGGGCATTTAAATCGCAGCGATTCACAGAATGCACTGCCGCTTTTATATAAATTTTTTTTAAGCCGTCTGGGAAAACGCGGCGTCCTGGCCGGTTGCAAACTCGGCCCTTTGGAGTCCATATCGGCCCCATGGAAGAAGCGGCGAAGCGGATCTGTGAAAAGAAAGTAACACCTCTCCACAACCCCCAACAGACGCCTGTAATTCAGCTGAGCTCTTAATAAGATAACGCCGTTTATCATGTCCTGTCTTTATTCTTTACCTGTCAGGAAGGGAGACGCAGAGGAAAACAAATTCTGCTAGCGCTCTACTTCCTGTCCTTCGTGCTTGGTGCTGCTTCTCGCATCATTTATTGTTGAACGCAGAAAAGCATCAAAACTAGATGATATCTTTTGCTGTTTGCCAACTACTGTAGCAGTTTTAATACAGTTTATCGTTTTTAGTAGACTGTCCAATATGTTTCAAGCAGCTCTGCACTGCACAAAACACAAAATCTTACCAAGTAATTTTGGTCTAGTTTTCTACAGCAAAAATCTTAGTACATTGAAATAATACAAAACTAAATTAGTTGCAACTTTTCAGCAGGATATGGGAGCTTCTTTGAAGCCAATAATTCTTTAATATTGACGAAAAGTCGCTTGTTATATTGGAAGATTATTTCTAATATAATCTTTGCATATATAATACATTATCATTATTCTTATGGAAAAATGTCATTTTTCCGTTATAAGTGAAATAATCTAGCATTGAAACTCATACTTTATCAGCCATATTAAGGAATTAGCTATTTAAAACAAGCACCTATATTTTCTAAAACGTTACTTGTAAATTAGTGTTTTATAAGGATAAAGACAGGATAAATATTCAATATTCCAAAGTATTGACTTTAGGAATAATCAGAAATGTAAAAGTATTACTTGGACACTCAAAAGGACACATTGACTGTATCTAAAGGAACTGAACTACACTAAAAATCACAAATGATTAACTATCCTAAAAAGGCAAAATGACTGTTAATGGTAGACATCTTTTGGTATTATTAGCCTTGGTTATTATATACTGGAAACCATATTACCTGTTGCTCTTTAAAATAAAACAACAAAAAAACTAATTCTTAACAAGAGCTTGTGTGCACGGTGAACTTTGCTATATGATGTGTTTGAAGTTGTTGCTTGTTTACCAACTCTGCAGTCAGTTGCTCAACAAACACGGACTGAATTTACTCAATATAAGCTCAGCCTGATGTAATTCATCAGTCATACTAAAAAAATGGAAGAGAAAGATTTCTGTTTCTGTAAAATCCAACAGCAGCAAGGACGATACATTCTTGAATATTAGCTTGATATAAAAAAACCTTGTTGTTCCACTGGCAGATTTTTTCACTTACAGTGAGATATTTTTTCAGTTTGAAATGAAAAGATCTGTCAGTGGAACCAGTACAGTTTGTACTCAAGAATTGACTTAAAACAAGCTTTTATATGAAGAGTTTTCTTGAAGTTAGTTTTAATTCAAGTGTATTACAATAATTTCCACAAAAAAAAAACCTGAAATTGAGTGTTTTTGCAGGATAATGAAATTTTATACATTGTCTCAGAGTACATAAATAAACAGCATAATGCATCCGACAATGTGTAATTTTTCTCTCTGCTTAGTAATCACTCACTACTTTGTGTGAAATACAAAGGAAATACTTTTAAGGTTTGCAGTGACACAAACTGAGAAGAAAATTTAACTGGTATATATAATTTCCAATGCAGCACAAATTGAGTTTCAAGTTTAGTACCTCTAATCTAATTTCAGCCATTTCATCTATTGAAAATGGAAATTTTGAAAACAGGAGAGACATTAGATGGCATATGTGTGGATTACTGTCTCTCTTCCTGTTGGGAGTAACCGGGGTTGTGGAGGCGTGGCTGTGGCGGTGGCTCACCGGGACATAACGCCTGTAAGGTGTCATGGCTGCTCCTCAGGGTGCTGGTTAGATGTCTCTGCGTGCTGCCGGCGAACAGCAGGAAGTAGTCCACTCCCCGATCATCTGCAGCCAGCTCTTCGTCGGAAAGCTGCACTGTGACAACACATCGACCCTGCTGAGACAAACGGGACCATAAGTGAAAGGAAGAAAAAATAAAAAATGCATTCTTCATATAGTGGAGAGTGTGCTAAGCTATGAGGAGAGTTTTATTTTTGACTTGCCGAATGACTTCTTTAAAACCTTCTGGAATATAAAAACGTGGAAAACTGAGATTTGGTTTGAGACAATAAAACACTAACATTTTTTTTGAAAATGTGCATTTTTGCATTTCAACCTTACAAAGTCAAGCACATTCATTAGGGGTGGAAGATACGGACTTCATGTGATATTTTGTTGAAAACAATGAAAGTGATGTTAAGACATATTTATTATTTTTTTGTAGGGCTGCAACTAATGATTGTTTTAGTAATCAATTTATCTATCAATTATTCTGACGTTGAAAGTTTGTAATACATTAATGTATTAGAAACATTAATGGGTTTTTAATACATTATTGGAAACACATTTAAAGATGCAATTGAAAATAAATTCCTTTCTAAATAACTAAATAAAATTTTTACTGCCAAAAATGCAATACTTTAGCATTAAATCTGAATTGGGTGAAGATTTTTAAAAAAAAGTTCACTTCTAAAATTTTGACTAAAACATATTCAGAGACAAAGGCATTTTTATCTTCTATACAAACTATAAATATTTTGTAGTTTTAGTTTAATTACTGGTCTGAATATGTTGTTTTTTCAGTATATGCTCTTTTTTGTAGTCTGCACATGCCAATTAACGATTAATCAATTACTAAACTAGATGACAATTAATTCAATGACCAATAAATTGTGAGTAATCCGATTAATTGTTTCAGCCTTTCTTTTTGTTTTTACAAACTGTAAGCCTGTGAATGCATGGCACATCAATAAAATACAAAATAGGAGAAAAATAGTAAAAATAACAATCCTGGCAATATGGACAGTTTTTTTGGGACGTTAAACTTGTTGATTTACTTTGATTTTACTTTGATTTATTGTGACAGCGATAAATCAAAATCATTTTGTTATAAGAAACTTATCATGATAAATACTAAACAATATAATAAATGTCCACTTCTAACACTGATTAATCGTGATTAATCACAGGGCCAGAGTGTAATTAAGCTGATTAAAATGTTTTAATCGATTTGACAGGACTACAAAATACAAGCAGTTTAATAAAATACCACAAAAGTGTTGGCCATTCAGGACCAGTGTTGGCAAATTGGGCAAGTTTTCATCCAAATAGGCAGTTTTTTAACATGTTTGGGGGGAAAAAACTGCTTTGGGTGGGTTGTTAAAATTTCGGCTGCTTTTCACAACATTTGGCGGATTTTTATAAGGGTTTCAGAGGACAGTTCTTTTGAAATAGTCGCCATGATGTGGCAGAAAAACACAATATAAAATGCTGTGTTATTACTCATCTTACTAGTTAATTTTGATTGAAATCTCTAGAATCCGTTGAATATGAAATTGTCAATTATTAATCAAGTGTCACTATGTAGCAGAGGTGTAAAGCAGAAGTCCCAGGGTAATTTCAAGATTTAAAAAGATATATCACCATAAAAAAAACTCCAGTCTCAATGTGGTCAGTCAAGTCCTTTACAGTCCCAATGGGATCTGGTTCTGGTCAGAATATAACAAAGGACAATTCATGATGCTATCATTACATTAATTTTGGAGTTGGACGGGCTTTGCGTTGTTTTTGGTTTGGAAACTCAGATCTGGCGACCCTGTTTAGGACACCAGTAGACAGTCAGTTACTTCATTTGTTTCAGTGTCTGGAGCTTTTTAACTGCACAAAATTTCAGCTACATTCAGTTCAACTGTGTGAACTGGATAACCACTGAATTACCAGAGCGCAAAGATTCAAAAGCGTAATTGTGCATAAATGCTGCCTGCTTTATTTCGAACGCAACAAAGGCCCAGAGTGAGGCTGCACAATTTGTGGAATGATGTGGTGTCATCTGAGGACAGACCAAAGGGGGGAGGAGATGGGACAGAAAATAGGGATATTGTTCAATTAAACTTTTTTTTTTTCCCACTGGGGTCAACAGAATGGAGAACGTCTCCCCCATTTACTGTGAGCGACGCCGAAGCTTTTTCACCCATCGTCTGAGCTGAGCAGAGGGTCAAAGGTGCTGCCTTCCTCTCTTTCAGGGCAACGTTTCTTCAAGTCTGGAGGGCAGCAGCGAGGCTAACCAGCAACCTTGGGACTCTCTGTTCGGCAAAGCCAGAAATGCCGTTTGAACGGTTTGAGAGTGGAGGAGACGTGTTCAAAGTCACCCCAAAGGCCACGGACAGAGAGATGCATCCTGGAGGGACCTGCAGAGAGCCAGAAGTGAGGAAGCCGGCTCGTGACGTGTTTAGCGGCGCGCAGAGCGTGTCAGCTTTAACAAGGAGAGATGAGGAAGTGCAGTAAATGAGTCGAGGGCCCAACTGAAGCCAGCAGCCATGACATCCTCTCTATTAAACCCTCATCTCTTATCCTCAGCTCCGACTGAAAATTGGGGTTTGCCTCGTCGGGAGTGAATTGACACCTCAGTGATTTTGGCAGTTTTGTGCTCCATGGGAAAATGAAAATACATCGATGTGAAATAAGTTCCACATTTTCAGCCACAAACAAAGGAGAAGCAAAAGGAGAAATGATTTTCTCTCTTCCTCTGGATCACTTCAGACAGAATGCCGTTACACTCCGTAGCGATAACAGCACCGGCTTCTTGCGGCAACTTGGCGGGCCTCATGTTTTCCCCAAATCACCCCTCGACCCCGTGATAAACGACGCAACATGGAGGAATCTTCTCTGACATAAGAAAGCCGATTCAATGAATAAACATTCATAAAAAATATCTATATATGTACCAATATTGGGTAACGAGAGCCGAGATAGAGGCTGGTGCTGAGAGAAAACAGAAGTGAAAGCAGAGTAGAAAGTCAGCTGAATAAGATCGCTGAGAGTCCCTTTTTGGATGCAAACGTGTTGGCAGCAGGCGAAGAGACGAAAGATGTGAAACATCTGCTGGAGACGGCAGGAAACAGAGCTCCACAGACAGCCATCTTTGCAAAACATGCAAAAGAGCAGACACAAACACACACACACACAGAGGAACTATACTGGCTGGAGGCTAAAATCTGTGCAAAAACACATTGAATTGACTTATTTGCTCGACTTAAACGACAGAAAGAAAATATATGTTTAAAAGCCGAGTAAAGCGCACCCCTGTGTGTAAATGGACGCCTGCATTGCCACGTTAAATACTTCAAACCAGTGGAGAGCAAAGTGACCTGCTGAGGTATTGAACTGCTAATCATAAAGTTTCAACAAGAAGCAAGCAGCTCTTTAGCGACATGAAAAGCGCAGCTGGAGGCTACAGACCTCAGCCTCTCCTCCCTCACCGCTTCTGAGTACACATGTATGAGCCGAGCCATTTCCCCGACTTCCAGCTGCTGTTTGTCCAGGTCAGCAAAAGCTTCATTTTAAATAAGCAACACATCCACTACTTTGTAGTAAGACTTTGTATTCAGTCACGCCGGATGATGTTGTTGGAATAATAATGAAGCTAAAAGCATCATCTCTGCAACACTTTCACATTTGTCATTGGTGACGTTTGTGATGGTATGCTACATTTGATTTTCACCAAACAAGGTGATGTAAATGAGCTCTAGAATGAGCTCTAGTTTGATCTCATTGGTCACAGAAACCCTGCTCCAGAAATCGTGTGGCACTGTAAAAAAAAAATTGAACAGAGTAGAACTTTTATCCTAGCATCCTATCCAAACAACCTAACCTGGTTAAAACACCTGCTTGGTTCAAAGTTTTATTCTTGAAAACAACTTTGAAACTTGACATGCTAGAGCAAAAGTTCAGGACCCGGTGCAACTTTTCATCTCTTTAATCACATATTGGATCATTTGTTAATGCAGCAAATTTGCATTCACTACAAAATTAAGTATGACTCACCTTGCAGTAATATACTCCTTGAACTTATATAGAGTTTATTTTCATGTAGAAAAATTGGTATTGGGCAAAACTGTACTCAGTGCACACCCAATTTTAATATGTCCAAAAAAAATTATTTTCCATCTACTTACCAATATGTATCGGTTTATTAAGTTAAAGTCAAATAATACCAACTGAAATATTACATACCTTTTGGTACGTAATAGCCCTTTTTTGAATGACGCTGTAACAATATAACCATTTTCCTTCGACTTAGAGGATTAAACACATTTAGTTTCTGTTTTAAAGCACTGACGGACTGAAGCAGTTCCTAAAACCTGAGGCCTAGAGGTCTAACCACCCACCTGGCCTCAGTCAAGAGTCAGATTGTAAATCACAGATAAGATTATCTGGCTGGTAAATGAGTTAGCAAGTCAACTCTTTAAATACACACACACACACACACACACACACACACACAATCTCTTCCATGTCCTATATCTGCTTTGTGTGTGTGTGTACCTCCTCTCCCTGCCTAGTGATTAGAAGAGCAGTGGAACCACAAAAGCACCAACTCAGAAATATCCCAAATGCTCTCACACACTCACACACACACACTTCATTAATTTTGTATCAACATATTCAGGAGCCACAAGAGCAACTGCATATATTTTGGAGTAATTTGTTAGGAGATCAAACTGAAACACTTAATGCATGACGAGTAAAGGCAGCAAATGTGCAACCAAAGAGTAATTAGCAGAATGAAGCCGGCTTTAAGTGGGTATTAGAGCATCCGCAGGGTTTGGGACACATTCTGTTTGAACAAGTGAGGTTCATCGTCCAAGTGAGCAAATTGTGTTGGAGAATTTTTAATTCCTCCCATTCAGAACCACACCGACACGCATCCTGAGCAGGAAACCAGGCAAATTATTAGCTCGATCGACCCCGACGAGGAACAACACTCAAAAATGCAGTATTTGCTTGGATAGTGAACGCGACAAATGGAAGCAGGACAAAAAGAATTTGCTGACAGCATCACTCTTCGGTGTGGATGTAGTTACTGAGCAAATGTCTTCCATATTTCTCATGTCATTGCCTTGCTCCATAGTCATGTTGTCCTTTTAAATAATTATTTGCTTATGCTGATTTTAGAAAAAAGGATTCATGTTTTCTGCTAAAACGTTTTTAGCCCCCGGATGATTTAGTTTTTTGGCTGTATAAAAAGTTGTTTTTCATAAAAACTACTACTAAAACACTTTTTTCACATTGTGGGAGTCATGTGGATAAACAACCAGATATTACTACTGCAGAGTGTATGGAAGCCCATTCTGCCACTATGACAAAAAGAAAACAAAAACATATTTAATTAAAATGAGATAGTAATATAATTATGATAACTATCTTACTACAAGTTAAAAGTTTGTTATCTCATTAGGATATGTTTTTTTTAATCAGAGTGGCAGAAAACAGGCTTCCATAGGGATTTTTTAGTCTCTTGTTGCGTGAACAAAACGTATTCACGTGTGGTTTTAATTACGTTTTTTATGTCATGGAAACAAAGCAGGTTCTGCATCTTAGAAGAAAAAAAAAGGTGCATAAAAATATAAATTAGAACTGTAACCTGCAGGTAAAGCTGAGCAACAAATCAAATGCATCAATTAATCAAACTTTCTCTTTTGAAGATTACATTTTTGGAGAATCCAAAATTAATCACAGACGGAGCTGGTTAAAGTTTACGCTGCGCTGACCTGACAGGCGTCCCCATTCACACAGAGCAGCAGCCACACGGGTCAGGAAAGTGACAGGACTTAAATATGTAAACAACACAGTGTTTACATATTTAAGTTTGTTTGTTTGTGTGAGAGGAGGAAGCACAACTGGGCGCACTGGAGAAACTGCATCAAGTACACACAAGAGCCATTGTGATTTGTGATACTTACATACAAAGGAGCTTGCTGTGGATTGAGTTTCATGTCCCTGGACACTGAAAAGAGAAGAACAAATTACGGGTTAGCGGTTGTGGGATGCTCGTCATTGTCTCCGCGTTCTGCTTCAAAAACAATGGAAATTCTTCAGAAGGGCACAAAAAAGGGTTGTAAACACCAGATGATCATTTTGACACCTCAGAAATCTTGTTGATGTAAACACTTGGGACAAAGAAAGCGTCCTCTGTGATGAATTTATGCTAAGTTTTAACTTGAAAGCTCTTAGAAAATGTATCCCATAAATTCAATGCCTTGATTTGTTTCTTCATGATTTATTCACTTAGACATCAGTCACCTTTACGGAGTTTCCTTCCTACTATTCGGATAAGCTTTTGAAAGTGGCCTCGTGTGCTGAAGAACGCACAGCTTTCACATCAGACAGACAGATTTTAAAGGAAGAGGTTCAACGTAAACATACTTATCTCACAATTACTCATTCTCATCCTACAAGTTCAGCTTTGAGAGAAGAAAATCACTTTGCAATCAGTGAACGCACCATGGTTAATTCCCAGCATGTCCCCATGACAACGCTTCATCGTCGATGATGAGTCACTGCGACTCAAGTTAAATGATTTCTTTTTGCTATCAGTGAGTCATCAAGAGAGAAAACAGAGGAGAAGAAGTTATTTGAAGGGGGTTTTCTTTTCAGACCAAAAGGGAGAAGATTTTCAACAGAAAACAGGGAAACTGAAGGCAGTACAGCAGAGCTGCTACTGCTTTATTCCTTACACACTCTAGAGCACACGCACACACACACACACACACACACACACACACACACACACACACACAGAGCGCTGTTTACAGTTCAAAATGTTGGTCGTAAACTGTAACTGCTTGAAACTAATGGCACGAAAAAAACTAATTTATCTTTTGAGTTGCAGCTCCTCCTCCAATCTATCAACCACAAAATTTAGTTTCTTGACACTTTCTGGTAGTTCACAAAGCATGCCATGTGAAGTCCTCAGCCAGTACAGCAATTGGTTACCATGGAGACTGAATGCGGGTCGGAAAAGAGACATTGCTGACCAAAAAGTTAGGGCAATTTCTTTGCCGGGTGACAGCTGGCGCTCCCCTGCCAAGTGTTGTTTGGTCTTCTAGTGTCCCAAGGAAGACTTCTCCAGACAAGCGAAACCAGTTTTGTCTTTGTGTAATTTTTATAAACAGGAAATGGAAAATAAGTTGAGTTGATCATTTTATATTACACAATACGTGTGTCTAAATCACAGCTTGTAGTTCAAAATCTTTACAAATTTTATATCTTAAGAACTATTGTCACTGGATTAGTTTGGCCCTTCTAATCAACAAAAAAAGCTTAATAGATTTTAGATAAAGACACCTCTGTCCATGCAAGTAAAAAAAAGAAAACAAACTAATGAAACAAAATGAATTTAAAAAAGGATTTTTTTTGATCCTACAGTGAAAGTCAAAACACAGCATCCAAGAATCTACAAAGTAGTTTAACAACTACTAACCGGAGATATCAACTTTGTATCACTTGCATCAAATATTGTCAGCTGCAGAGAACGCCGCGCTTTTAATGTGACGCGACACCACGCATAATTCAGCAGACAGCTCTGCTAATCCCACTGTTATCTGATTGCAAACCCACATTCCAGTAACTTCTCGTCTCAAGACATCAAGGTGTCAGACGAAGCCCACGTATTTCAGACGAATTGAAATTCGTCTGAAATACCATGACAACTAATGCTTGAAGTTAAATAAGTAAAATCTGCAGGAACAAATGCAGATGTGACATTAATACAAGAGAACAATTATCTGTCAGGGAGTGACATAGAAGTAAAGGCGGGTCAAATTGATAAAAACCAGGCGGCTATAATGTGCTGCCGTGATACAGGACATTTTGTCACAAGTTTAGTGAAAGAATCTTTGATCAAGCTATTATTATTATTATTATTATTATTAAAGCCTTTTAATACAATATCAGAAAAACAATAAAATATGGTAGTGAAGGATTCAAAGAACTTTAGTATCAAACCAGCAACAAAATTTGGACTCTTGCCCAGTTTAAGAAGTGTAAAAATACATATATAAAACAATACCATATATTCCTTTTTTAAGTAAGAAAAGGGACATTTTTATTGCTCAAAATGCAATAACAGCATTCCTCTAGTGAACACCTGATCATGTGTAGCCAAGGGTGCATCTTCTGCTGTTCACTTTTTGGTTTTAATCAAACGGTTAATAAATGGTTAGCAAACGATGATTAACAGGAGAATTTTCTAAACAGCTTCATTCCTGCTCCGTGTTCGTTGTTCTTTCAGCAAATGTGTACTCCAGTTAGTGATTAATCGATTGTTGAGTTGAATATTTGCATAACTGATTCACTACAATTAATCTCATTAATTGTTTCAGCCTGATAGTAAATATCTAGAAATTAAGGTATTTGGAAGAAAATTTCTAACTCCCTCCCCTGACCGCATGTCGCTAATATGAAGTATAAGTATAATACTTGCTGTAACTAGGTGAGCACATCATCAACATCGGTATCGGGCAATTTTTTAACATATCAGCATGGGTCCGCAAAGTGAAACTTGGGCTGATTTTAATTTTCATCTTCTTGCTGTTTGTGTTTCAGGAGGGCGTTGGCCTTGTGGCATTTATTTGGCCATGTGACAGTGATGCAGCTCGTGATTATGGGGGTGTTTCACTGAAGCAGGGAAGCAACATCAGTAGTGTAGTGACATTGCAGAAAAAACATAGCACTGGTAAACACACGGAAATAAATAAGCAGGAATATTAATAGATCTTACTTTAAATAAACAGTAATATTGAGAATGTGCAGAAATAACAGTAGTGTGAACAGTTAAGTTGCACCTGGAAATCCCCGTCTCTCATTACAGAGGTCAACAGAGCAAAACTCGCTCGCCCACACTCTTTCACATCCTTCGAATGAAGCTGCCAGTTCCCTACCTGTGTTGGTTTGTTTGTTTGGACAAACCTGCCTCTTCCAATCGCCAACTGGTTTATCAGCAAGCAGAGGACAGCAAAGCAACAAAAACACTAGTTTGCCTCTTCTAGAAGGGCTTACGTGGTCCCGGGATCACTTGGCAGAATTACATGCAACATGTTTGACTCCTCTACTCCCGAGTCTGGAAAAGCAAGGCCCTAAAGCCGGCTTCTCGACACAAGGTCAGAGGTAGTGGGTGTGTAATTGCTTTAAAAAACAAAAGGTGTAACAGCTATATACTCGGAAGACAAATGGGTTGGAAACCTTTCTGCTGAACCCTCCCGAACAGAGCTTGGCTCAAGCTCACGTTCGCTGAAGAGTCAAGGATCTGTTCAGCTCCGAGCCCCCGTATTCTCCTCTGTTATTTGCGGAGACAATTTTCTTTTGTTTGCTGTTCCCTGGCACTAAAACAAGTCCTTGCTTCTGGCCCCGGTGGTTAGCGGTGCATTAATCACATCAACCACACAGCGGGGGAGGCGGCGACAAAAGGCCAGGACCTAATGAGTTCAGCAGAGAGAAAGAGAGAGAGAGAGAGAGAGGACGAGCGACAGCTCCAGAGTCAGCAGACCAGAGCACAACACAATTCACTTTCTGAAGCCCAGTCCAAACATTTTTCCAATTTTCTGCTAAATGTTCAGGCCTGAGCTCGAATTAGGCGGCTCAGGTAAGGGGATAATCAGCAGCTCTAATAATACTCTGGAGGCTAATCCTCTTGCCTTAAGTGCACTGGGCCAGGGACCAGCTCCCTCACGACATACACAGCACTCGCTTATATGACTCAAATCATGTCCGCCAGCTCTTCGTGCTTTTTTTACATTTCTATCCCCTTGTCATCTGCTGGCTCTCATGTCCTCGTTATTTTACTTTGACGGCGTCTTTGAGGCCACGGTGTGATCCAGCTTGCAGCACAATAGGGCAAATATTTACAAGATGCATTGCCACATTCACAGTATTCACCGGCGAGGATGGAGCCGATAACATTTGTTCACCTGCGGATGGCTGCTGTGTCCTTTATCGCCTCCCATCCTGTTTTACATTCTCCACACATTCGCACCAGCAGCGACGGCAGCTCAGGCTGTCGGTGTGACTGCCGCTTTTTCACAGTTGTTAAGGGAGAAGAAAGACTCCTGTGACACCTGGGATTTCATACAGGTGGGGGGAAATCTGCAGGAGCATCAAAAACTGACTCCGTCAGAGTTAATATAATATTTCCTTTTCTACTGAACGGTTTTGATGATCATCTCCATTTGGTTTTGAATTATGAGTTTCTTCTGCAAGTGAAACTAAAACAAGTTTCACTTTCTATTGCACAAAAATGCAAACTGGTTTGAATTTTGAATGCAATCAGAAAATAATGAAAATAAATTTTTACACAGCTGTTTTTTTTTTTAATCTCTTTTAAAATTGTCCACTCCCTGTTAAGTCAAATCATTGTCTTTTTACTACCCAGATCCAAAGGAAACCACTAATTGCCATTTTTGGAGTTGGAGTGACCACGATAGCCGCTGTATTTTACTTCACCTTCGTCTAAGTTATTATGGCTCTACATTGCTGGGACATTTTTGAGGGTAGAAAGAAATTTCACTAGCAGTGAAGGGTAGTTCTGCAAACATGGATGTTGCTGTTGGAAAAGCGTGAGCTATTTAAAATCAGTGGATTACATCGGTTTGACATGCAAATATTGGCAGACTGCCGATCTCCCAAACTGAAGAACATCTGGCCTGATTTAGCCGTCTGTCTCACTGATTTTTTTTTTTATCACTGTTATATTTTAAGTAAATATCAGAATTGTTTTATTTATAGACCAAAAATGGATCTTAGTTTTTATGCATATCATGAAGTAGAAAAAAACGAAATGATTTTTCACTATTTTTACAGGAATCATTAATAAGACAGGGGGAAAAACAGATTAATTCTGATCTCCAGCCAGCAGATTGTCTAGTTGCAATAAGCTCCAAGGTCCTGTGTATTATTACAGAGTAAATGGAACATTTTCTCTGATCAATCTATACGGAAACATATTAATGA